CCCCTAGGGGGCGTGCCCCACATAACCAGAAGTTATTTGGGAACCTCTGGAATAAGTTATTAATCTGAAAACTATAATTAGGCTGTTTCAATCAAGACATGATGTTAATAACTAGGAGAGATTACAAATTAGATTATGTGTTTTACAGATATTCTATGTTGCATTCAGTTTTACACTAGCTGTTTAAATCTTATCAAGATGGTCAAAAGGTTAAACTCACACAAACAGCCACAACCCCCTGTGGATGCCTGCTCAGTCCACAGAGAGGTTAAGAAGTGTGTGTAAAATAGTTTAGTTTTTAGTTCTCTATAATAGAGAACTAAAAACTAAACTATTTTAATTCAACTTATTGTGTTATATTTAATATAAACATTGTACAAATGAAATGCCCACTGGACCATGGAGGCAATTTACAACCAAATTTTCTTATTTTAAAATGCTGTTAATTTTATATAATATTGTACATGTGGTTAAGTTTTAAAGCTAGCATATTTTACATTTATTTTCTTAACAATACACGTAGTTGGTTACAAAATACACTGTATGTTATATACATAAGCTAAATTATGGAAAATCAGTTCATATATTAAATATTTAACCATTTCATAGGTGAGGTACAGACAGGAGGAGCATGCTCTCATCAAGTGGCGCAATCCAAGGTGAGGCTCAGCTTCCTGCTGCCTCACCAGCTTCGCTTCCGAGCATTTAAATAGGAAAATGCGAAAATTCAGCGATTTTGAAGAAACAATATTCAAAATTGGTTTAGCTAAATGAAAAATAAATTCTTCATAGTACAAACCACAGGGTAAAAGTAGCAATATAAATTGTCATATCATTATATATTATTCTTCCATGGCTCTGCCTCACCTGCCTTCCCTGACTGCATGTCACTGGTTTAGGTATAAAACAACGCTATATGTGTTTGGTACATGGGCCAGGCAAACTAACAAGGCAGCACTTGTATATATATATATATATCTTTGTTTGTATGTGATTTTATATTGGCTTTTTTCTTTGTGTTTTTCTACAGCTGTAGCTTTGATTATTTGGAACTTCGAGATGGCTCATCATTGAATTCAGACCTAATTTCTCGGCTGTGTGGAAACACTAGACCATCTACACAACATTCAAAAGGCTCTTCCATGTTGCTCAGGTTTCGGACTGACAGGAGTGTAACACACAGAGGATTCAAAGCAAAATATTCCATAGGTTAGTCGATAAGTTCTGAAAAACTAATGTTCACCAACCAAAATGCAGTTGTTCCAGTAACCATGAGTGTTGCATTAAACAACTTCAGCATAGAGGACAAACAAAAACTCAACAGACACAAAAATGATTCAGTGAGAGAAAGAAAAAGTACAGTTACCTTTAATCTTGCACTAGGTCATGTGACATGACCTATATATATGTGTGTGTATATTTCCTCTAATATATATATGTGTATATATATATATATATATATATATATATATATATATATATATATATTTCGCCTTTGTTTCAATGTCAACATAGGTAGGCCTATCAGATTCTGAGCAGCTGATTGTAGTTTGTAAGTGGTGGACAGGTAGCTAGCTATTTTAGACTACTTACTACTGTCTTTATCATTTAAGGGATACTAGACAAAGGTTGGGGTGGTAGGACGGAAAACGTCCATTATTTTTACATTCAAACCAGATATGCATTGATCTAAAGAAGATATAATGATTTTTATCGAAAATTAAACAACACTTGAGAGCTCACTTTCATTTTGCATTTCCCATCTCTAAATCCAGCATCATGTGGAGGCACCTACATAGGTCAAACAGGGGAAATCCATAGTCCAGGCTTCCCTAGTTCTAACTATCCTAAAAACTCCAACTGTGAATGGTACCTAGAAGGGCCCACGGGACACTACCTTACCTTGAGCTACAAGAACCTGAGCCTGCAGGACAGTGCAGGATGTGCTGCTGACTATGTGGAGATAAGAGAATACAATGCTTCAGGTGAGGACAAAAATCTAATTCTATTTGGAACTCATGTAAATTGTATGAATTCTTTAGATTCAAGTTTATAATTTCCACAGGACGTCTGCTGGGGCAACATTGTGGAAACAATATTCCAGCTTCAGTTGATACATCAGACAGTTTTGCTTATGTCAAATTTGTGAGTGACAACAGTGGAAATGCAGCTGGATTCAGCCTGTTTTTTGAAGCCAGTGTTGAAGGTAGGACCACTTTATTCTTTAGGGTTTTATTTAATGGGGCAGACACACATAGGCAAACTGAATAAAACAGCAGTCTCATGCTTGTATCATGGTGCTGATGGCGTAAGCTAATTTGCAGCACTTGTCCCTAGATGGGCTTTTTAAACAGTACTGTGGGTGTCTGTGGCTCTGTGGGTAGAGTAGTTGTCCTGTGATTGGAAGGTTGTAGGTTCGATTCCAGCTTCCTCCTACTTCATGGTGTGAATGTGACTAGTCACATTCACACCTGCACTCTACCCTGCTCCGGGTTGAGGAGCAGGGTAGAGTACTCCAGGGAGCACTTCCTGGAGTACTGGAGTACAATCCAGTACAGGTTCTCCAGTACTGGAGAGTACTGGAGGTACTGGACCTCCAGTACCTCCAGTGTGGAGGTACTGGAGAGTGTCCAGTACAGGAGGTACTGGACACCTCCAGAGTGCCCAGAGAAGGGTAGAGTGCCTGCTCCGGGTTGAGGAAGATGTCCTGCCCCAAGTGTGGAAAATGTGGGAAAAATGGAGTGGAAGATTGACGGGCAGACTGGTGCAGTCTCTGCAGTGAAGCAGGCGCTGTACCGGTCTGTCATGGTGAAGAGAGAGCTGAGTCAAAAAGGAAAGCTCTCAATTTACCGGTCGATCTACATTCCTACCCTCATCTATGGTCATGAGCTTTGGATCATGACAGAACAAGAGTTTTCTCCGGAGGGTGTCTGGGCTCTCCCTTAGAGATACGGTGAGAAGCTCAGTCATCCAGGAGGGACTCAGAGTAGAGCTACTGTAAGAACAGAAATACTATTTAAGGAGTTGTTTTTGCAAAAGGATTTTGACACCTCTCTAGGTCAAACAGACCTGACTCCCTTCCTTCCATTTGCGTGCAAAGCGCAAATGGAACCAAATATGGCTTGGGAAGGAAAGCTGTTTGGACCGATAAGAACAACAATTTGAGATGAATTGGCTTTCTCTGCAATTCTGAGATGGAGCAGATGAGGTCCCGAATATTTCTAAAGGACATCCAACACACACTTAGTATAAGGCTTGCCAGAATCCTTACGTAAGTCAAGGGTAGCAACCCCATTGGTCGAAACTTTCCAACTTACACCAGTGAAGATGACATTGTATAAAAAAGGGTGATGTTAAGAATACGGAGAGAATTTTGGAATATTTTTGAGTATTGAACTGTTGAAACTGTAACGAGGAATCCGTGGCAGAGTGTGTATTAAATATCCGAGCTCGCCTGAGGCCAAGCAGAAGAACTACGTCTCCGTGCGTTATTTCTTTTACTTATTTATTTGAGTATAGAAACCTTTGAGTTCTCCAAAACTACTGCTTCTCCATGTCGAGAAGAGCCAGTTGAGGTAGCTCAGGCATCTAGTTAGAATGCCTCCTCAACATCTCCCTGGTGAGGTGTTCTGGGCACATTTCACCAGGAGGAGGCCCAGAGGAAGACCGAGGGCACAATGGAGGCACTATGGTTCTTGGCTGGCCTGGGAACGCCCAGAGGAGCTGGCCTAAGTGGCTGGGGAGAGGATTGTCTGGGCCTCCCTACTTAGGTGGCTACCCTTGCAACCCGATTCCAGATGAGGGAGGGAGGGAGGAAGGAAAGAAGGAGTTGAAGTGAACCTGTGCAAGGGTAAATAAAGCTGCAGTACGTAAGTTTGTGACAGCGTAATATGAGACAGATCACATGTGAAAAAATTGGGCTCTTCTGCCTTCTCCCAGTGGTCCCAGTACTAACAGCAGAAATACGCCACTCACTCAGAAGGATTGCTGTAAATGCTGTCAATCACTCTCATGCTCTCTCCCTCCTGCTTGTTCTTTGCTAAGCAACAGCTTGCTCAACACGACCTAGCCTGCCACAAATACTAAGGTGATCTTAGCATGGCCACCAATGACGTTGGATAAACAGTTGTCAGTATGTTAATGATTTTTCCATCATTAACACACTGAGCAGTATGCTGGAGGAGGATTGACGGTGCAAAGACACTCCTCCTTGCTCTAATTGATTGATTGTGACTCAGAGTGGTACATTTTTGCAGTCCTAATTGTAAAACCAGGAGGAGGTGGAGGAATTGATTTTTTTTTACATGTCTCATAACATGCTATCATGATATGGTGTCAGTTTTTATAAATATGGAAAAAAACAGCTTTTGTAACAGTTACATACTGCAGCTTTAACCCCAATGCACCTACTGATCAGTGTATAAATGTGAGTATGAGTGGGTGAATGTGGCTTTAGCATAAAACACTGAGTGGAAAAGAAGGCAGTGAACACCCGAACTGGAAAAGAGCTATAAAACTTCAGTCTGCTTCATCTGAGAGCCATTTCTAAATACATTAACTCAAGTTGTCTATAGATTAGTGTATCAGTGTATGAATGTGTGCACATTTGCAAGTGTGACTGGGTGAATACAGCCCTAGTGTGAAATGTTCTAGTGATTGGTATGTCTAGGAAAATGGGCTGTATATGAAGTAACTGATATTAAATAAACTTGGACAAAAAAGATTTGACTTCTGACAATCAAAATAAATTTTGTTGAATTATTTGATCTCACAATAGGTGTCCATTTGTTTTTCCTTTTTTCTAGTGTGTGGAGGAGAGTTGAACGCTCCATCTGGTACTATCACTTCACCCAATTACCCAAACTTATATCCTCACAGCAGAGTGTGTCGCTGGGAATTGGTAGTCGCACCAAACCGCAGGGTTACACTCATCATTAATGACCTGCGCCTGGAAGGTTCTGGCACTTCCTGTGTGTTTGACTACGTTGATGTGAGTTCCTTTCCTCTCATTTGGATCTTGCCTGTTTTCTGTACTGTAAGTTTTCACATTTTTAATTCTCAGTTAATCTAAAGGAAAGAGACTGGCAATTGGAAGTTAGCAAGTTTAATTCCAGTTCCAATTTGACATACATCATATATTTATTTGGGAAGACACTGAACTCCTCACTGTCTATTAACAGTGATAGACAGTGAGGTGATAGATTGCGGTCAGCAACACAGGAGCACCACAGGGGACTATACTCTGACCATTCCTTTTCACGCTGTACACTTCAGACTTTCAGCACAAGTCTGACTTCTGTCATCTACAGAAATACTCAGATGACTCTGTAGTTGTCAAGTGTATCAGAGATGAACAAGAGACTGAGGACCGACGGCGGACGGACCGATAGCTGCCGATTCTGATCATGCATGAGGCTGATCACCGATCGTTGCTGATCACCTGGATTGGCTGTTAAGTTTTCGCTTTAGGTATAAAATTTATATCTAAAGCAAAAAATTAACACTTTAGATAGATATATATATGTATACTATAAATAATGATTGGCTGGATCACATACTATAAATGATACTATGTGATCTGGCAAAATGGAAAAATGATCTGGCAATTCACCTAATTTAGATATAAAACATGCAAAATACTTGCAGGCACAATAGTACAGCTATTTGTTCAAAAGAACAACTGAAAAACCTGCAGTCAGTAAAATAATATTTAAAAGTAAGGCCTCAGTACCATGAATTATACACGAGTCAAATAAATCTCACAACACTGCCTATATCAAAAAATGTCAAGAAAAAAGGAAACATTCATTCAGAGTCAAATGCAGGTTCCATCAATCCTGAGTTACTAAATCAAAACTTCCTCAGACCATGGCTCGCTGAGTAACGCAGGCTCTGATTGGCTGTTTCAGACTGAGCTGAATAATTCTGCAGAACAATAGAGGAGGCAGAGATCTGTTTTTTTCAGAAATTATCTGTCTTATGTTAGTACATAGTTAAATTTTTAATACATATCAAAAATCTTTTTTTTGTTTGTTTTAGTTGCATGCTGCAGCTTTATCAGACGTTTGGTGTGAGAGGTCACTGCAGGTGGAGCAGAAGCAAAGCTACATCTATGAAACATTACTACCAGTAGCGCGTAGCTATGAGGGGCCGTTTAGGACAAAAACTATGTTTTGTCTCTCACACATTAGTAAAGACTCATACACATACACAAAATATTAAAATTGCGCATGTACACTAGTAAAATATCACAACACTACATACAATTTTCTTTTCTCACACGCAAAAATTAAAGACTAAGATTGCACATATAAAGTAATAAAAGATTGCATGTGCATGCATTTTTTTTGTCTCTCTCGCACACACAAGACTAAAATTGCACATACTAAAATATCACATACAAAGTGTACAGACATACTATTCTGAATGATGGGTTGAAATGTGTGTGTGTGTGAACTAACACTAGGCTGAATAAATAAATGAATGGGGATGAGACTTTTGTCTGTGTTAGAGACTCATACGGCATTTTATAGGGACAGAGTGATTTTGGTGACATTTTGTGACTGTTTCACAGACTTGGATTGAATTAATTGAACTGATGGTGTAATAAATGTTGTTTTTGTTATACATTTGCTTTGTTTAAAGATGAATCGTGTGGCTTTGTGTATTTGGTTATGCAGAACAGGGTTTCCCCTATAAATCTTGCTGAGCCCGGCAGTCAGGGTGCTGAGGCGGTCCATTGGCGGTTCACTGTGTTTTTGTATTAAGAGATGTTAAGTTGACAGGAAATGTAAAAATATTACTGGGTAATTATACATTACAGGAAACGTCTCCAGTGATTTAAACCCACAACTAATCTTAAAAACAACAAATCAAAAAATACAATTAAAATGAATATCAATTATTTGCACTTTTGTTTAATCCAAATTAAGTCAGCAGCTCCATCAGGCCCCCCAGGGCTGCAGGGGCCCCATATAGGCTAATATTTTAACACAGGCCACAGATGCGTAAATGTAACATTTGTTTACTGAGATGATCAATGCTGCTAAATTTGATTTAATGGTTTCAGCATACATACATTAAAATATTTAAATGTTAACATTGTAAATATAAGGTTTTAAGGAGCTGGTAAGTTTATTATGTAAAAGTTCAAAGAACAATATTCATATTTAAATTGTTTTGTTACCATAGCTACACTCTGATGCTGTGAGTTTAATCTTTGAGTTTGAGCTCTGTTTGTTCACAAATATAAATTAGTAAACTGCAATTATAACTTATTGCTTTTTAGGTTGGCTAACTAAACTAGTCCCCGTCTCCCAGATTAAATCTAACACAAAAGCTGTTAGAGGTGCTGATGTTTTTAGCAGCAAGAGGGGCCTCTAAGTCAAATCCTGCTCAAGGCCTCAGACAGCCTTGGACCGACTCTGCATGATGAGTTAAATCCGCTGCACTGCCCAGAGACGCGCAACAAAATGCTGTTAATGTGGCGTTAGTAGCTCTTCCATTTCATGTCTGTTGAGTTTGTAATAAGCATCACAGAAACTGTTTTGTTGTCCGAGCTTTAAGGGACGGATTTTTCAGATCTCTGCAAGGCCGCGTTCATTAACTCTAAGTGGACAAAGCATTTGATACGGTTTGCTGCTTCATGTAACCAGAAAAATAATACTAAAAATATAAAACCAGCGTGATGTGTGACTACAAGGCAAGTGCGAAAGCTCCTCACTTGGCTGAACCTGCATGATGAGGTTAGCGCTAGTTCGTTAACCGCTGACGCTCCGGCCAACAAACACATACATAAACTTTACAGGGAAGACAGAGCCACACGCTTATAATACACTGCAGGAAACCCTGCAAAAAAGGAACCTTTTTTGTCTTATTCCCTATTAGATAATGTAATTTATCTATTTCATTTCATTATTTAATTAATTGTAACTGGTTGTTTGATTACATGTGATTTTTGATGTCCATGTGCAACTGGGTAAAAAAATGTCATGTTTGATAGCTGTCATTTAATTCATGTGTATCTGACATAAAACTCAAAATAGGATTTAATGTATCGATAAATATCGTAGAATCGATAAAATTACACAACCCTACATGGAAAGGAGATTTAAGTAGACCTACCTATATTAAACACCTGATTGATTTTGTGGATTAGTCATAAACCCATAGAACCTCTAAGTGGGTTAGATAAAAGTATTAATTGGACACAGTGGTACCACATTATCATCCTATATTGGTCTGATCTAAGTAATCAACAGAATCAGATATGTTGAGTATGGTGACCAACAACTTTGTGTTTCAGTGCTAAATTCATAAGAATTATGGGGGCATCTACATACTTCTTATGAATTATGCACATTGATCAAGTAATTACTGCACAAGCCACACCTCTCATCTGCATCATGTTTACAGGGTACATAATCACATGACCTCTGTTGAGCTAATGGAGTAATTTGTCAAAACATTGACTTTACTGACTGAAACTATCCAAAATTAGAACTGAACAACCTGTAGGGATAGAATTCCTCATCTCAAGTCCTGGCCATACAATGGAGAAAATAGTACTGGTACTGAATGTTTGTTTCAGTTTTGGTTCATATCTCATCATTGTAAGTAAAACTTGCAATGATGAGATAAATCGAGGCATAAATCGAGTGCTTTGCCTTTTGTACTCTGCTTTTGATTCAAGAGGAAAGCCTCATTCTCTCTAATTATTTCCTGTGGTAAAGACTTGGTCCACACCTAAAAACGACAATAACTGAAGACCTTCTAATCAGACAAAATTGGTGTCAAAGGTTTGTACTATATTTGTGCTGGTTTGTGCAGCAAAAATGTTTGTTTCACTCAAGTACTAGAAAATAAATGTCTTCTTTATCAGAGTCCTATCTCTTACAGATATTTAATGGGTTGGCTGCTGATGCTCCTCGCCTCCATCGATTCTGTGGTGCAGTCGCACCAGGCACTCAGGTTCACTCTTCTGGCAACACCATGGCTATTGTATTTCGCACCGATGCTTCCGTTTCCAGTGGTGGCTTTATGGTTACTTACTCCTCTGATGAGCCTGCAGGTGAGTTATTTTCCGAAAAAAACCTACAAGTTGAAAAACTATTCACAATTTTTTACCCATTATCCAGTTCAAATTTCAATCCTTTTAACACAGAACAGTGGACCCCTGGTGTTTACGGGAGTTAGGGACCACCGTCACTCATGAATAGCTGAAATCCGTGAATACTTTAGACCCTTTCTAGATTCGCTTATAACTGCGTTTTTTAATTGTTCAAAGACCAGATATACATTAATATTCACCAATACAGAGTGTAAACCTTATATCTGCAGTTTTCCTTATCTCTGTTCTTCAGGGTACAGTCAATCAAAGGCAAGGAATGTAAATGGTGCAAATTCCTCATTGACTGCTTGGCAAATGGTCTGTATCTGTATAGTGCTTTATGAAGTCCAGGGGACCCCAAAGCACTTCACACTACATTCACACGCTGATGATGGCAAACTACTGGAAAGAAGCAACAGCTGTGCTGGGCAGCCTGACAGAGCAAAGCTACCATGCAGTGGTGCTAGTTGTGACCGCTGGTGACCCTCTGACCACCAGAGGTCACCTCTAGTAGGCGAAGCAGATCAAGTGACTTGATAAAGGACACAATGCTACCATCATCCTATGCCTATGGATATGCCATTTCTTGATCTCAGAAACAGAAAACTGTTGAATTTACTTCAGCTTCCTGAGCTGTATTTTCTTTTGGAAAATGTTGATAAACATTACAAAAATTCCTAAAATAGGCACATTTTCCGCAAATAATTTGGCACTGTGTTCCACAGAAAAGCACATTAATAGGTGAATCTACACTGTATGTGTTTTCATGTCTTGATTGGTTTTCTGCAGGAATACAGTAGAAATAGTCACTTGGAGTTAATTAATAATATAGAGCTGGAGACCTCCAGAGAAAGCAGATCTGCATGTTTACAGCTATACATGAGGTTTGGAAAACTAAGATGTGCAGTCTGGGTACAGTGAATACTGTTCCCCCACATAAAGCTGTCAACATTACTATCAGTTTTGCTCAGGTCAGAAACGGATCCAGGAGAATACATGTGAACAAATTACAATTTGTATTGGCATGTTGATTCATTAAGCTTGAAAGGAAATAGTGACTCTATAGTCACTAGAAATCGGGTGCTTTCTTTGAAACGTGAAGGATGACTTTGCCTCTCTTTACGTGTTCATGTTTCATCAGAGTGTGGAGGAATTCTGAATGACCCAGCTGGAGGCAACTTCACATCACCTGGTTTCCAGGTGTCCAATTACAGTAACAACTTGAACTGCGAGTGGTTGATTCAGAATCCCATTCACATCAACTCTTCAATTGTGGTTCTCATTGAAGACTTGCACCTGGAAAACCATCAGACTTGTGAACTAGACTACCTTCAGTTCCGCCTGGGTAAGTCCTCCCAAAATGACTACAGGGTTCTACCATAACATTTAGGGTTTTTTTTTTTTATGGTAAACTGAGTTTAGATTGCAATGGATCTTTAATAAGGGGCTTGAGATTCACCCTTTTCCTGAAGAGGTTTACTGTAATGCCTCCAAAAGTCAAAGTTACCCTCATAAGATGAAAGATACTGATAGGAAAAATATAGTTTCAAAGTCAAAGGCAGGTTTGAAGGTTTTTGAGAATGACCCAAAAAGAGTAAAGACAGCAAAGGCGAACAAACTGGATATTGTGATGTTTGACAACGTACACCAAAAGGCAATAGTGATTGCGTAATCCCAGAAATGGTTAGCTTTGGTGGCCTAAATGGACATCAGAATTCTTGGAGGTAAAGTGGAAGCAACCAAATTTTTTCTTGTTAACCAGTGCTTCATTTGGCCACATTACGTATCAAGCAATGCCTATTTAATGAAAGAGATGCAATCTTAATGAACCCATTTAACTGCCTTTTTGTCTTTATTTCCTTCATTCGTGGGTAACATCTGTCACTAAATAGGTTGTTGGTTGGTAGACTTTACCCCCAGGCATATGGATTGCTTCACATACAAACTGTTAAAATCAAACAGGTTCAGAAATAAATTGATCCGAGCAAATAAGAGATTTTTAGTCCTTTTTAAGGTTTCCTTCTAATTAGGGCTGTCAACATTAACTGATTAACACAAGTAATTACTCTGAACATTTTAATGCATTAATATTACATAATGCAGATTAATGAACCTACCTATTTTCCCCTAAAACTATCTCTTCCATTGGGGGTTGCCTCGTTCACAGCAGCGTGTTACGGGCTAGACACACGGAGAGCAATAAACGATGGCAAACAGTGACAAAAATTGAAAACTTTCAACTTTCTTGTGTTGTTGTTAACATATAGTATACAGGGGTTGTAGAGTTCTTATTTTCTGTTGTTTTCTTTGCTTGTTTGTTTGTCTTTTGGTCCATCCCTTGTCAAGGTGACTGGGATGGGGAGCTGTTGGGGAGATTTTGTGGACAAACGCCACCCCAGATCCCAATCGTGGTGTTCACACCAGAGCTGTGGGTTCATTTCCAGACTGACTCTTCACAGGGGGATTTGGGTTTCAAGGCCAAGTACTCATTCTCTGGTAAGACAGTGATGGGTTAAGTCATTTTATGTAACACAGTTGTTTGTTTTTTAGCATGACCTATGGCATTTTCAACCATAACGCATCAACTCTGTGACCTTAGAGTTAATGTTTCTGCAGAATGTGGAGGCTGGCAAACAGGTGATGGTGGGGTGTTATCCAGCCCCAATTACCCCAACATGTATCCCAGCCCGAGTCGCTGTGCTTGGCTACTGGAAGCTCCCATTGGCCACACTATCACGGTGAGTCCTTAACGCATTCAGTTGCCGTGATAGAACAAAAAGGAGAGCTAGCCAGTTTGAATTAAAGTTGCTCAGAAACAGTATCGTACTATTTAAAAATGTCTTAGCTAGCATCAAGAGTAGTAGTTGGCGGGACGCAGCGGTGGAACAGTGGGTTTAGGATGCAACCCATGAACAGAGGCCAGTCCTCGACGCGGCCGTCAAGGGTTCGAGTCCCTGTCTGTTGACCTTTGCACCATGTCTTCTCCCCTCTCTCATAACCCACTTTACTGTCATACTACTGTGAAATAAAGATCAATGGAGCCAAAAAGTCCTTAAAAAAAGAGCAGTGGTTGGCTGTCTGTCTGTTCAAACTGAACCTCGGGTCTTCCAGGACTGTAAAGAGGTTGACAGCAAATTCATGGAACATTGGTTGGAGAAACACATACTGTCAAATCTGGGACATATTGGAACACTAACATTATATATATTTTTTTTCATAAAGAATTCTTCTATCTCCAGAGTAAATGGTAAAAAATTATTAAAAAGCTGTTCGACAAAAAAGTTAACCATATTTTATTGTGAGCAAGGTGGCTTCACAGCATTTGGCCTTAAAAGAAAACCTCTTCAGGAGGACGTCATAGTCTGACAAGCCAACCCTGTTTGACAATACAGACCCCTAATCTGACCCAATGCACATGGTTCACTACATGGTACAAATGATTCATATATATAAAGACATAATTAAATGATAAATAGCTACTTTATACAAATGAAATCATGGTTATTAATATTCTGGTTAATTCAATCCAAGTTAAGTGGAGACACACCTGTGGATGTATGTTAAGGTTACACTACAGGTCTGGTTCATCACTGGGTCCAGCTTCCAGATATCAGAAAGTTCTGACATTTGTTCAAACCACTTTATGAAGACTAAATGAAATGAGAATGTCCATTCATCACTGTTCAGGGTGAACATCTGTGTTTTAGTGTAAAATGTGTAGACCAACCCCAGAATAAAAAAACAGTGTAAGTAAATAACTGCTTTGCTTTTTCCTGTAGATGATTTGTGAGGTTAATACAGGAAGCCTTAAGTGTTCTGTAGCCTTCTGTACTTTGTTGTCTTTCTCCCGTGTTCCTATAGTTGAGCTTCAGCTACTTCAACCTAGAATCACACGCCACATGCAGCTGGGATTCTGTCACAATTTTTAATGGAGGATCACCTGGATCTCCAATTATTGGCCAGTATTGTGGAACCACCAGTCCTGGAGCCATCCAGTCAGGCTCGAACAAACTGGCTGTAGTTTTCCTGGCAGACCACAGTATTTCAAAGGGTGGATTTTTTGCCTCCTGGTCTGCCGACTCTTCTGGTAAGTTTTTGTTAAATAAATAAATATCTGGCATAGTGTTTGTGGAATATCGAGAGAGATATTCCACAAACACTATGCCAGGCACATTGTGTTTGTGTCTGATATAAATTTGTCAGCACAAGACAGGCCTATAATTATTCAGCTTTTAAACAGTTGACATATAAATTATTTTACATAATATATCCTTTCTACCAATATACAAGCAGTTTTTTAATGTTTGCAAATGTTGTCTTACCTATGAGTTTTAAGACTCTATTTTCTGCTTTTATGTGATGATTTTCAAAATAGTGTGTATAGTAATATTTTTATCTTCAACTAGGCTGTGGAGGGGTGATCCACGCTGATACAGGAACAATTAAGTCACCAAATTACCCCCAGAACTTCCCAGCAAATACAGAGTGTTTTTGGCAGATCATTGCCCATGAGGGAAACCATCTGGAGATGAGCTTTGGTGAAAACTTTGAGATCCCAGACAGCACTGGCAGCTGCCAGACCAGCTATATCAAGGTACAATCAGGAATTGACACTTTTTCAGATCAACTATTATTTCAGGGTAAAGTAAGACATGAGCCAGACAAAAGAGGAAAGGATTGATAGTGACTTGTGCGTTTCTCCGTAGGTTTGGTCAGGCAGTACCCAGAATTCTGAGGATCTGCTTGTGACAGGCTGCGGTTCTTTGGCACCAGAACCCGTTGTCGCGCCATATAATCTTATCACAAGTCGATTCCAAGCCACTGCTACCTCTGGTGTAGGTTTCTCCATGTCCTTCAGCACCCGTAAGAATCTCAAGTGTATTCATCTCAACCTATTTGTGTTATTGTAACACCTGCCAACATGGTAGCAGTTCTCCTCTACAGTTGACAGGTAACCCTCTTAGTAGGTGAGCAAAAGTCATATTAATAAAGGCTCTATGTAAGCAATATAGTTTTGCGAACAATATCCTGCCTATTAATTCTGATATTTGCACCAGCGTTATCAGTCATGTCATACAATTTGCATCACAAAAGCAGTGCAAATCATGAATGTCTCGAGCTCTTTTCTGTTTTTAAAAAGACAAAAATTCCAACAAAATGATCTAAAGTTTGATGTCTTTTGCTCCTGAGGGTGTGGTGCAAGTTTTGATGCTTCCAAGGGTCGAGTGGTTTCTCCGAATTTCCCAGCTGACTACCCAGACCTCGCTAACTGCAACTACACTATCAATGCTGGACAGCAGACAGTGATTGTTCTCAGCTTTCAGGTCTTCCAGGTAGAGGGTATGTGTTCACACTGCTACATGGGAACAGAAATGAATAACCTTGAGGATAAACCATGTCTTCCTTGTTGGATGTTGTACCAAAGGTTTCTTTTATCTTTTGTTTAGCACACTCCACCTGTATGTATGATGGTCTCAAGATCTACAGCCCAGTTTCTAGTAGCACTGCAATGGCCACTTTATGTGGTACCAACATTCCAGGCCCTTTTTCCACTTTTGGTCCTATGTTACTTCACTTCTACTCTGACTCTCTGATTACCAGCCGTGGCTTCATGGGAGAATACAGTGCCATACGTAAGTAAAACAACATACAGATACTGTGCCTAACATACAGATACTAGTACTGGTACCAGATTTCACATCTCAATTTTGAGACCAGAAGTTATTCAACATTAAACCTATAACTATGTGCTGACAAGCTAATGATACTTTAACCTTTGCACAACAATAGATTTGATCTGACAGTTAGGATAATTAATGTTAACTCAGAAAATTTTCCAATTTACAACTTTCAAATCTGCAAAGCTTTACATTTTAGATCAGACAAGGCGTAATACAGTTTAGAGCAGCATTCTATACAATAGTTTTCAATAACTATTGTCCTGCTTTTAGGTCACTCCCTGCTCCAGTATACCTGAAATCAAATCAATCACCACACCTTTAAACTTGATGGCATGCTGAGTAGGTTATTCAACCACCAGATCAGCTGTGTCAGAGCAAGGATGCATCTTAAAACTGGAGTACAGTGACTCTTGGTGACTGAACTTGGAGACCCCTGGTCTAAAATGATATTAGAACTTTAGTGCTGTCACATTTCACTTTTTATTTAAACTTGGAACCAACTAAGTTTGACAGAGCACACCTGTTAATGGCTGCTCTCCCTCTTTGTTGCAACGTGCATTTGTTTCTGAACCGGATTAATTTTAGTGACTCATGTGAATCCCAAGGGTTCTGTTGGAGAACACATAAATAATCATGACTCCGAAAGTACAATGTCCCCAAATGTAGATTTTTCTTTATGCTTGATATGTATTAGTAAGGCATATTTTGTAGGGGTCAGTTACAGCTTGATCCAGCAGCAGAAATCAGGTGATATTGAATCAAATGCATATAATATATAATCAATTCTACCTAAATACCTCTCCCTAACTCTGAAGCTGATAGCGCTAAATAGGAGACTTTGAGGGACAGAGAATGGTAACTGAACTCCAACACATACAGGCAGTTGATGTGATGATGAGTGAGGCCCAGCAGGGAGTGTGTAGGATGGAGCAGGCAGCTGGAGGCCGGCAGGAGTCCTCAGAGGGGTTCTCTGATTCCTCCTGTTCCCAAGTGATGACTTGCCAGACAGACTAGTTTTCATCTTTGCCTTGAGTTGGCCGTCAGGGCTGCCTTAGACGGAGGTTTAGGCTCTGCTCCTAACCCTAGGCTTGTCAAAGGTCACCTTCCATGCCATAGCATGCACACACCTTTTCTCTCAGCATTTTGAGTTCCTTTTTCGTAATTTATGCTTTGCCATGTGCTTCCTAAAGGCCCAGTGATCAACATTGGCTCCTTCTTAGTTCCTGTTTTCTCTTGGTTCACAGACACACCCTGTCCCCATCAGTGAACTAACATCTATACTTCTAACACATCAACAACCTACATTACATAATTGCAGTCAATTATTTTCTGATTACAAATACATTAGAATGCAGTCATAGCTATATTACAGTTAAAATGATCAGTACTTAGTGCTGCTCCACAATCTTTTTACTTCGGGCCACTTGTAATAACATTTCAGAGTTTTACATAGCATTTTGTTATTTCAACAGATCAATTTTTAAGTACTCTTAAAATCTGGACTTCCTATGGAAGGGAGACCAAACTCCACCAAACTCTGGCGCTTTCACATCCAGTAATAACATAATGGCATAATGAAAGTAGCCTAAGCAGAGAAAGTAAGTCTACATATGGAAAAAATAATGAATGATGCTGAGAAAAAATCTGTCAATAATTAAAAATCTGTGCTTCAGTGAAGCCTTAGAGTAAAGACACCATGTTACAAAGGTCAACATGATATACATTTCTTCAAAATATTATGATACTGTATTTACTGCAAAATTTCATACCATGTTCCTTTTTTATAAATGCAAAGTTTTGTGTAAATATTGCATCACACTTTTTTTTATTTTTTTTGGTGATGGTATCAAACTACCAGGCTGGAAGCTTCTAAAGAAGGAACAATGGCAATTTTCTTTCTTCTCGATTATCTTTTGCCATTTTCAGCTTTGTTCCTTAGTGAGAACACAACAGGAAGCGACCCATTTCAGAATAGATGGACTAATTTGGTGAAAGAAAAATGTGCACTTGCCTCTTCAGTCTGCTTGTAGCTGGAATATTGAGACCAAATCGGAGCAGTGTGGGTAATATCGAACAGAGAAGGTCATGTAAGAAAGATACAATTTGTCTGGAGATGTATTTCCTTGTACTTTTGTGAAATATGAATTTTCACAAAGGGAGACGTATAGAGGGGCTTCAGCAGAACCCTGCATCTGTTTCCTTCATAGATGACATAGTATCAATAATTTTAAGAGATTTTGCTAATAAAAAAAATCAGCCTGGTATCGAGGTAGATTTTTAGATTCTGATTACACACTGATGCTTTAACCTTTGTCATTTATCCAATTCAATGTACCAGTTTACAACAAATGTCTTCTCAAGTTACTTTACAAAAAAATGCAATCGTATATACATTCCAACTGATACTAGTTCTCAAACAGTACAGCTCAAATAACTATTCACAGTGGATTAAAAACTTTCGGTAACACTTTATTTGAAGGGGTGTGCATAAGACTGACATGACTGTCATAAACATGACATAACACCCGTTATAAACATGGAGTCTTTATGAATGTCTATGACCGCTGTCATGAAGTGTCATTATTTACCGAATGACACTTCATGACAACAGTCATAAACATTCATAAAGACTTCTTCATGTTTATGATGGTGTCTTATGCACTTCAAATAAAGTGTTTCCAAACTTCCCCTCTAAGGACACCCAAACAGAATGCTGCAAGACTTGCAGCATTCACTCCTCCTGGACGAGAACTTAGTGACAATTGCTTGCGTTGTGTTGTTAACTTTTCAGCAATCCCTTACCAAGCATGCATGTAGAAACAGTGGAGAGGAAAAAAACCCTTTAACAGGAAAAAACTTCCAGCAGAACCTGGTTCAATACAAACTGGGGGTTTGAGAAGAAAGAGCAGAATGTGCAAGAAAAAACAGACGATGTGGGATTATTTTTGATATTCATGAAAGTAAAAGTCAATATATTAGACATTTGATGTTTGAATCTTTGTGTGTGTGTTCAGCATGTGGCGGTTTCTTCAATAGCACCCCAGGTACAGTGAGCAGTCCGGCCCTCTCCATTACCAACTACCACCACAACATAAACTGTACCTACCACATCACCGTCCAAGCAGACAGAGTTGTGGATCTCAAGTAAGACTACGTGTGATAAAATATAAGTTAAATAATAATTTACTTGAAACATGAAACAATGTTTTCTTACACTAGCAGTTTAAAGCCAGTATAATGTAAGTTTAAACCATATTTAGTTATGTTTCATGTCTTTTCCCTTTGTAGATTCAATACTTTCAGCTTAGAAGCTTCTTCTTCATGTCGCTATGACTATGTGGCCGTGTATGACGGGCCTGACAGCTTGGCACCATTGCTGGGAAGGTTCTGTGGAACAGTGCTCCCACCTGACATACGCTCCTCTACAAACAATTTGTTCATCATCTTCCGTACAGATGCCACGGTTAGTGGTGTTGGCTGGAGAGCCACTTACAGTCAAACACTTGGTAAGTTAACTTTAGGATTAGTTATGATGATGTGGATGTTTCTATCAAATAAATGGGTTAACACGCAAAATCAAAAGCACAATGACAAGAACAACCAATTATTGTAGCCAATGGTGCACTGGAATCTAGCAAAGTTGTAGTTGGATTATCACAGAGATAAACTAATTTTTCATTTGATATTTGGCAACATTGTTTTTTAGTATGACTTGGATCAAACCTTTTCAGTTTCCTACCACAAGTTTCTCTCAATAATCGGCTGGAGTTCTGTCCCTTTCCTCTTGATAGAACTAGTCGAAGTCTATCTGGTTTGTAGCCCAACTCACTCATACACTTTTTCAGATCTACCCACAAATTCTCAATAGGATTGAGATTAGAACTTGTGATGGCCACACCAAAACATTGACTTTGTTGTCCTTAATCCACTCTGTAACCACTTTGGCTTTTTGCGTTGTCCATTTGGAAAACCAACCTTTGCCCAAGCTTTTCCTTCCTGGTTGATGTCTTGAAATGTTGCTTCAATATTTTTACGTATTGTTTTCTTCCTTGTGATGTCACCTATTTTATGACATGTACCAGTAGCTTTTACAGCCAAACAACCTCGCAACATGATACTGACACCCCAATTCAGTTGGGATGGTACCACTAACTTGCAGTAAATCTGCAGTCTGAGAGCAAAGTGCTCTGTTAGGAACATGGAACCATCAGATCTAAGGTATGATGGAGTTTGATTACTAAGGTGAGAATGAGGATCTTAAATTATGTTCTACATTTCATAAGGGGACAATGTAGAGAAGCTACAATAGGAGAAATATGATTTCTCTCTTTAATTTTAATCATAACTTTTGAAAGCTTTTCGTTGTATTTTGTGGACTTTTTGACGGTAAAGAATTTCAGTAGCCTACACTTGAAGTAACAAATGCATGGTCTAGTGTTTAAGCGTCACTCCAAGATATTTCTAATATTGTTCCTGAGATGAGAAGAGAAAACCTAGACATTAGTTGAATATAGGATTTAAATTATATATCCTGGTCAAAAATAACACAGAGATTTATTACTTTATTATTGGAGGCCAATTTAATGCCATCCAGATCAAATGATTTGTTAAGCAATTTCTTTTTCATAGATTCGATATATTTTATCCCCATACAAGAGACAGAAATCATTGGTATTATGAATAAATGTAAAAAGTAAACCATCCACTGACTGTGATGATCAAGACATGAACACAATTAAAAGGGTAACTGAGGGAATCTCTAAACCATTAACTTAAATTTGTAATTTATCATTCCAAATGGGACAATTTTCCAACATTCCAAATGAAAATAGCAAAGATCAAATGGCAAAGAGAAGAGATATAGGGCTGCATCTCTTCTCCCTCAGTTCTCTAAAATTCTAGAAAAACTTCTTAAGAAGAGACTAGAGAAATTCATAGACAAACATTCACTAATTAGCAGTGATCAATATGAATTCAGAGCCAATTGGTCAACATTGCTAGCCATAACTGACTTAGTAGAAGAAATTACCAGTGCAACAGACAGTAAGACATTAGCTGTAGGGGTAAAGATCTAAAGAAAGTTTTTGATATAATAAATCATGTTATCTTAATTAAAAAATTTGAATGTTATGGAATTCAGGGAGCAGATCTGAACTGATGCAGAAAACAGTATGTGAAGATGGGAGATAACTCCATTATGGCTTATGTTTTGTGGAGAAGGAAGTTGTGCTGGTCTTCTTCAGAGGTTTTGTGTTGATTCCTTCAGTAGTTCTTGGTGCAGCGCCACCACAGGAGAAGAGTGTGGGGGGTTTTCCATTTGTTTGGATCGTTTGCCACAATGCAGTGTGAAAGTGAACTGCACCAGCTGAAAATCAAACAAGCATTGCAATGTTGACTCCCAATCGGACAATCAGGTGTGAAAACACCCTAAGATAGCATTTAACGCATTATTAGGCTATATTTACATCTGTTCTATCTACTTTAAAGAATTAAGGCATCTATTTGCATAATTTATTTGTTAATCAAGCAAGACTGATATTTGTTTAAAGTACTTATTTCTTTGTATGAAACATAAAATTCAAGTAAAGTGAACTTAATTTTGTCAAGTAGATTAAGTAAAATTAAACTTTGTATAAATTACTAAACTTTTATAATGTAGGAATTTAATTTACTAAAAAGAAATTATGCAAACTCAATGGCTCTAAAAAAATCAAGTTTCTAAAACTTAATACTTCTTTGAAATTCAAAAATACTTTATTAATCCCAAAGGGAAACTAAATATTGTTGTAACTCATTAATTAAGATTCTTCAAAGAGTTATTGAAGATCATGACGGCTGGTGGCAGGAAATATCTTCTGCAGCAGTCTGTCCTGCACTCAATCTGAAGATGGCTCTGACTGAAGATGCTCTGCCTTCCCAAGACAGTCTTGTGACAGGATGGTCAGGGTTGTTCATAATTTTCTTGATCCTATGGAGAATCCTTCTTTGCATAATCATCTCCTGCGATTCCACAGTCGTCCCTGGAATGAAACTAGTATCAGGCTGTTGAGCCTTTTTAAGTCCCTGGCTCTGATGCTGCTTTTTACTTGTTGCTCTACTCAAACTTTGTTAGAAAATATGGAAAGCAGTAATAGTCTGTTCACTTTTTTCACTAAATAAACACAACCATTTGCAAGGTTACATCATCAGGCAAAGTGGGGTCATGAAAAAAGCATACATCTCACTCATGGTGCAATTTCAAACATAAATGCAAAAAAACTAGTCAATAAGCGCTGCTCTGAAAGTTTCTTCATTCTTGATTAACTGACTGTATGGATCAAGCTTTGGAGTCTACATTTTTGCTTTAAACATCTTAAAACTAAAATTTGTGACAAATAAAAAAGCGGTTTAATTAGTCACTGCTGCTGGTGGCACAATGCATTATGGAATACCTTGCTGCCCAACAAAGAAATTATTGCAAAGTATAGAAACAAATGAAGTAATGTGTGATTTAAGTCTTGCAAACCTAAAATAATTTTATACATTTTGTTTAGCTGTACATAAATTCAATAGTAAAGACATTTTTACATTATAAATTATATGTACATAAGGTGTTTGGCCTAGCTTTTTCCATGGTGAACAATATTTTTAAGCTGAAGTGCTTATTCTCATCAAATGTATTTTTTTCTGCCTACATCATCAACAATATGCATTAATAAATATGGTGTTATTAGTTCATATTTTATTTTAAAAACAGAAATCAGTTGTACAAATGTTCAAAACTTTCTCTATGGATGGATGGGTGGATGGGTCTTTCTATATCAGTGCACAATGTTTTTGGACATTGCCAATGAGAGCCAGTGCCATATCATTTGTTTAGTTGTGAATTTCTGCAGGTCCAGCACAAGGATGTGGGGGTTACCTCTCCATGCCGATGGGCATGTTGGGCTCACCAGACCCAAACCTGGATGGACGTTATGAGCCCAGGATGAACTGTGTTTGGACCATTGAGATGCCTGTGAACAAAGCCATCAATCTCACCTTCAGCTCCTTTGACCTTGAGAGCTCCTCTACTTGTCGCTATGACTATGTCAAGGTAATGAGTTATTCCTGTTATTTCAATGTTTAACATGGTAAATGGCCTGTACTGCATAGAGTGCTATACAAGACTTATTCCATGAGAAAACAAAAACAAAACCTGATTTCAAAGTTTTTCCAATGCAGACCCAAATTCAAAACTTACCATCATGCAGTGGCATCATAGGAGTGGCAGTGGTGACTGCGGACGAGTTCGCAGTCACCGTGGATCATCGGTTCGATTCCTGGTCCACCCACCTTTGTTGTTTGTGTCCATGTGCATGACTCTTCACCCACCTTGCCTGCTGGTGTTGGTCAGAAGGACTGATGGTGCAAAATTTGCAGCCTGCCCCTGGGCAGCTGTAGCTACAATCCAGTAGCTTGCCATCATCAGTGTGTGAATGTGCCCTTTGAGGTTTCAATTGAACATACAAACGGCTTTACAAATAAATTTGATTATTATTCTTTGGGGCTGATGATGTTTGATTTGTCACGCTTGAGTTTGAGGAGAGCTGGACATCATCAGCATAAAGGTGGAATTGGAGATTGTGGCTGCAGATGTAAACGTGGAGGAGCATGTACAGGATGTACAGAAGAGTAGTGGAACAACTATGATACAAGAGCAGTGGATGAGGTTATTGATACTGATTAATCGTTCCCCATTTGTGAGATGTGAACAAACGGGAAACCAGAAGAGGCCAGTGCTGGTGATGATGAGGGAGGATCATAAGCAAGAGAGAATCATGTGTCTGATGGTGTCAAAGGCTGCAGTGAAATCTAAGAGAAGGAGAATGCTGAGGTGAAATCTGAGGAAAGAAGGATGGGATGGAGTCCACAGGACAAGTAGAGCATTGTATGTCTGCAATGAGTTTGGACAGCTCCTCTAGGGAAACGGGAGAGGACCGAGACAGGCACTGAGTGCTGCGGGGAAGAGGAGGGACAGAAGAGAGGGAAGGGAGTGGATCTGGGGAGGTTGAAACAATGGTGATGGTAGTCGGACAACTGTAAATTGCATTCATTCTGTTTTGGAAAAATGACAGATAAACATTGCATTTATTTGCTACAAAGGAATGTGAGATGTTATCACTGGGTTAAGGAGTCCACGTCCCTGGATCAAATGCTTTTTCAATGAAATTGTTAGCATCACTCCGATGATACCCAACTAAAACCCAAAAATCATAAAAAATTCAAACTTTATCATAAAATTCTGAAAATATCCGCACATTGTCATGTCCATATGTGGAATAATATAAGTCCACAATAAAATCTCTACACTCAGTGGCTTGTGTATAAGAAATTAACCTTAACTTTTACAATGTTAGTAATAGTGACATATATTCTGAAATTTGCTAAATTTCTGAATATTTAGCAATCCTGGCTCTTTCAGAAACTCCTACTCTTTCTGACTCTCCACCTTCAGGAAGTCATCACAACATGGCTCCTCATAAATAACATTTTTATCAGTGTTGCACTGAGAAGTAGCTCACATAATGAGCTCAGCAGATGTGCGGTTCCAGCAGGTGTTTGCTAATTGCTGCTGGCTGGTCTAAAGGAGCTGAGTGGGGGAGTCTTGGAAGAGCTGCTCCATAATGCAGAAGCTCAGAAGCTTGGAAGCTGCAGCCCTGAGGACAAGCTGAACCTTGAAGGCAGTGCCGGTTCCCCCAATCGTTTGCACAGCTAAATGGTTGCCACAGGAGATTAAAGGATTTCTCCAACATGCATGAAATAATCATGGAAACAGTCTGTATGTTTTGGGTGAGGGGATAACATTATAAATAAAGCTAAAAAAAATTCTAAAAGTTTTTTTTTTTTTTTTTTTTTTTTTTTACATAAAACTGCCCTTATTCACAAATGACCATTATGTCAAAAAACTGCCTGAATGTCTGTCTGCCACACTCTGCCACAGAGATTTTTTCAAAATAAAACTGCCCATCTTGCTTAGCATATTTAATTATTACTTTATTAAGCCTAAAAGAGAACTAAAATTGGAATGATATTTATTGTGTTTTATGTCTGAACAGTATGCCAACTTTCAAAATGTTTGGACAGAGACAGCTGCTACTACTACCATGAGTTACAAACTACATGCTTTCATCTAGAACTGTAAATTTGGGTCAACATTTTTAGGCTTCATGCAAGGAACATATGTTGAATGTCTTAGCTCTGTCAAATCAATGAGTGAGTTTTTACTAACCTTTTCCAAATGTTTCCAAATGCCTACATTTTTGTGCAGAAACCAAGCCCACTATGACAAAACATCATCATATTGATAATGTAGCCTTAGGGTTTTATCTTGAAGACACCCATCAGTTTCATAAAAGTCCATATATTTCGGCAGTATGAAGGAGGTACTTATTCCATCCCCTAGTTTTGGATCTATCGCAACCTAACAGAATGCCAATAAATCTCATTTTGATGTATTACAATATGGACTTGTTGTGTTCTGATAATGTTCTGAATGTGTCTTTATCTCCACCAGATATACGATGGAGACAATATGAACTTTCCTCTAGTTGGGACATACTGTGGAAGCTCCATTCCTGCCTACTTCTTGTCAAGTGGAAACTTCTTGACGATTCGCTTTGTCTCTGACAGCTCTGTCCAGAAGCAAGGATTCAATGCAACCTACAGAGCAGTACCATGTAAGAACATCTCTTGTCTCTTCTTCCACTGTTACACCTGGGACTTCTTAAAATAAATTCACCTTTTTATTTCCAGCAGCATTATCTCAAATTAAAAAAACATTAGTGTTTAATTTGGGTTCTTTGGTTTGGTGGAGAAGAAAACCCATTTAATGATCATTCCAGTAAAATATAAAATTGACGTTTTTTTCTTCTTGTCATTGTATTCTGTTGATGTTCAACTCTACAACTCCCCTCTGTGTCTGTCTCTCTTCAGTGCTGTGTGGCGGGACTCTGAATGCTACGACTGCAAAGCAGACTTTGACTTCACCGTCCTTCCCCAACGCTTATCCTCCTTACACCTACTGTCGGTGGATCATTGACTCTCCACCACTAGAAACCATTAAAGTGTCAGTCCAGACATTTGTCCTGGATCCAAGTCAAAGTTGCTCAACCAATTACCTGGAGATTAATGATTGGCCTTTGGTTAGTAAAAACAAGAGCAAGATCAAAATTTGCTGGACTACAGAAAATAAAAACAGCCTTTGTGTATACAAGGAAATTGGTTTCTTTACAGAAATATAAAAATACAGACATAGAATTTCAAATGTTTACAAAGCTGAATTATCAAGTTGATAAAAAACTATTTTTAAAGTTCTCAGTTTAACTTTGAGCCTAACAGAAATGTCTGTGTGGAGACATTGTCCTAAATCACCACGTTAATGACAACAAACATGGTTCCCCGATTCTGAAACGGCACAAAGAGGGATGGATGCAGCTGGTGACCATTTTAAACTCTAAACTATTCACATCTCATTTAGAGTTAGATTTTAAGTTATTTAATTCAACTAATAAAAGATAATAAAATAATGTGAAAGCAGAATTAGTTTCTCTTTAAATTTTATAAATAAAAATGGCATGTTAAAATTATTTATCCCCTCAATAATCCATAGCCAATCTTTAATGGCATTATAGTAATCAGACTTTTCTGATTATTGATGCTATATTAGTTTGTCAACTTATTTTTGGTGATGAGCTCTGAGTCTGAGTCTTTGAGGTTGGAAGGCCTCCTTTCTATCACCCTAATCTTAGGTCCATCCACAGATTTTCTTCCAGATTCTCGTCACTCTGAGTCTATATTAACTGGCTTTTTATGGTTAGAGGAAACTAAGAATTTGTATTGAGATGTGTTTTTAAGAATTCAATGAATGAATTATTTCTCCATATTTCCATAACAACAAGCAGATACAGAGTAACTTAAATAGTATCCCTTGTTTTAAAGACAATCTGAAGGTTGAAGTGAGATAAAGGTGGGCTATCCACAGAAAAGCTAGTCCTCACACCTTCTTATGAAGGTATATTGTACTTACTTCCCATCCAATGTAACATTATGTGGTGCACCTAAAAATGCCACCACAGTATTTTTTATTTTTTTATCATTTGCAGTTCGGCATGTTAATCTGTCTGTATTTATAGTGCTTTCCTGAGGTGGGGACAGGAGTGGTCCCCACCTCCTGTGGGGGGCGTTGCTTTCAGGTTGGTTTTGGGATGGACTTCCGGTTTGTCTCAAACGCAATCTGGATGTCAACAGCAGCGCTGCTCGTCCTTGCTGACTCCTTGTTTATTTTCTCTTCAGATTGTGTCAACTCTGTTACAGCAGTTCTGACACCCGGGACTTGTAACAATTACTTATTTTGCAGATGCCCTGAAATAATTCACTTGACTGTTGGACAGTTGAAGAAAAATCATTGGGATACATTTATATGTCAGACATGAGTATCTGGTATCCAAGACAAATACAGCACATTTTTAGACAATGTCTAAAAAGTGCCTCTAATTTGGTTTGTTACTGAAACATAATGTTTACAACTGTGTTGAAAGACATTAGTGAGTAACTGAATCTACTGCTGCTCAATAGAAATAACATATAGTCTCCAGTTTAAGTGGCATGGCTGTTTGGGGCTGTGGGACGAAGCAGGAGTACCTCAAGAAAATTATGAGGAGGACTTGCAAATGCCACACAAAATAACAACTTTTTTTAGTAAAACCTCATAACAATCATCAAATGTCTGTGTTCTGAGTACAGCATTCCACAAGAGCTCAGTGTTCACAGATGACTCCATGACAAAGGCTAACACGACAGAAACTCACAGATTTGTTGGAAAATGGAATGGAAAAAATATAGATATTTCTAACTAGATAAGACAAGTCACACCTGCTGATAGTTATGATGGTTCACAAGCCTTTGTTAAGCAATCCCTGCCCTCCTAGATGCTCTACAGGTTTGGGGAGAAACGTTTAGAGCTGTTTCCTCAGAAAATGGCTTTCTGAGTGCCAGCATTCAAATGGCCATTAGGCCTGTCACAGTAACAAATAAATCAATTAATCACATGATAAATTGAAACAAACTCAGTCATTTGAATTGGCATGATTTATCGTTTATCTCTTTTTTGATAATAAATATCTTCATTTTGGCACTTTGGTCTCAACTAGCACAGTTTTTGAAGGACAATTTTGTTTACAAAGACGTCAAAATTCATTTTATTTGTTGTTTTATTATTTTGGATATTTAAAATGGCTTCCATTTCCAGTGTTAAATGTTCATTAGAATTTAAAGTTTATTGATATTTTAGAAGGTTTTATTGCATTATTATTTGTGCCATTACTGTTGTGTTACTTAAAAATAGTCCCAAACAACAATATTATTATTTATCGCAATAACTTCTGGAACAATTTATCATCCAGCGAAATTTGTCATCGTGACAGGCCTAATGAGCATATCCTTTTTTCTTATTTCAATTTGTTTGACATCATTGAAAAGTTGAGAATTCACTCTTTCAGGGTCTGTAAATAACTCAAAATTCACATATTTCTCAGATTTATTAAAGACTGCTCCTGTTAAAGTTGTGCTGTTTGAATTGTACTACCAGTTTTTCCACTAGTAACCTAAACTACACCTGCACTTGTTAGTTATTGCACTTTCCAGCTGAACCAAGTTCTTTGTGTTTCCAGGGAGACTATGGACAGTCACATAAGTTCTGTGCTTCAGATGACCATCCACCAGACTTTTACAGTAACAGCAGGACAGTCCTTGTGTACTTCAAATCTGATGCCTTCCTGACAGGAAATGGCCTCAGTTTCAGCTATGAAATTGCCAGTGGGTATCGGAACAAAATGTTCTTTAACTGTTTATCTTGAACAGTTACTTTTTTTTAATATAACTTGGTTTCTGAATTGTGCTCTAAGATGTTTGTGTTGATTTTCAGACTGTAGTCGACTACATGAACAGGAATATGGCTACCTAAAGAGCCCAGGATGGCCTGAAATCTACCCCCACAACATGGATTGTGTCATAATTCTGAAGGCGCCACAAAACAGCTCTATCTCTTTCTTCTTTAACAACTTTGATGTGGAGAGTCAAAGCAGCTGTAACTTTGACTACCTAGAGGTAAACATTTTCCATTCTTAGTTTGCACCTGTGGTCTTCTTCAAATTGCATTTGTGATTGTATTTAAGTATAGATGGATGTGGTTAGACTCCATCTTGTTCCTCTTGGTTCAATATAGAATAAACTTTTCCAGGAAGGCTAAGCAGTGTCATCACTTCAGTTCACAATTTATTTTTTAATTATAGGCTGATTGGCCTTACAAAGGATTTATGTACATAAAGTTGCCTATTGGCCACACGTAGAGAATGCTGGAAAATTGTTAGAAAACAAATATTGTACCCACCAGAAACCAATGATTTTATTTAATTTCCCTTTGGGGTTAATAAATTATTAGGCCCAAGAGCGAAAGCACTATGAAGGCCTATTGTAATTGTTCTGTTTCTTTTTTTTATTACGATTCTTCCGTCAAATAAATTCCCTTTTTGAGGGCCCTACCATATTCAAAAACTCTCCAAACTTGGCGGATGCATCAAGTATGTGTGAAAGTTAGGTATTTTAAGGTTGTCATAAAAATGGCACAAGAAACGGCTCAACAGCGCTACCTGGCAACTTTCAAAAGACCCTCCGCATTGACGTTACTTCATCGTAGAGGCATGAAACTTGGAACCCTTGTAGCACTCCCCAAGATGCACAGAAAACTCTATTAATGTCATAGTGCACATCAAACAGGAAGTCTGCCATTTTGGATTGAAGTTCTGATTTTCAAGCCACTTTTGCCATTTACAGCCTTCGCATTTGATTGAACTGGAATTTCAATCAAATGCGAATTATAGGAATTTCGATCAATCAGGTTCAAACTTGGGTCAGTTTGTTCATAAGGCATGGTCGAAAAAAGTTATAAAAAAAAACTGACTTTTCATGCATGCTGAAATGAAACACAAAACTGTTATCTTCTACACATACACTCAGTGATAGGTATTTTCTCAAACCTACATAAAAGCAGAACCACAGACAACGTATAAGGTAAGGTACGGTAATTTTATTTATATAGCACATTTTCAGCAACAAGGCCATTCATAGTGCTTTACATGAGTTAAAAGGAAATGCAAACAAAATAACAAACCAAAGGAAAAAGAGGAAAGGACACATTAGGGCAGATGGCAACATTCAGACAAAACAATGGGCAAAACAAAGACACGAGTGAAGGCGGTAACGTCAAAGGGCCATGGAATGATGTCTCTGACACTCCTGGCAAAGTTCGATGGAGGTGTTTATTATCGAGGAATGTCCTTGGAAGCGCTCAGCTCCACAGCTCCATGGAAACAGAAGGGGGTGAGGAGGGAAGAGCATTGTGTTCACATATCTTCAAGGAGATTGGAAATATGCAGCCCTACCAAGGCCACACGGGAAAAGCCAATTCAGAAACAGAATGTCTTAGGTCAGGAAGATTCTAAATTTCAATCTTCCCTAAAGTCTCTCTGATACATCTCAGTTCCCAATCATACAAATTACTTTGGTTGTTCCAGTGAGTCGAATCTAGCAGCTTCTCCTAGATCGATTCCATCCTGTTAGTGAGTTTTAGAGTCCTCGTCTCTGTCCACGCCAACAGTCCGAGTGTTCGCTATTTCAGGAATCCACAAGCTCCACACAGCAGAAATCCTGTTATCATAAATAAATCCAGGGTGAATCCTACTGGGTGTGTCCCTGCAGGACAAGAGGGCTCTCCTGTGCCCAGACTTCTCGTCGTAAATTTGATCAATTGCATTGAGAGATCGGTTGACCAGATCCATAATTTGTAGATTTGGATGATGTGCAAAGAAAGGCTCCAAAAATATGGAAAAAGACAAAATCAGCAAGCAGGGCAGGCAAGGGCAGGGAGGGAGCAGAGGAAAAAAGCGTCTGCCTTCATCGAGAGCAAGAGAGAGAAGTATATGATTTTCAACCAAACTTCTGCAGAAAGAGAAAACACAGTGAACTGCTTCTCCAAGCTGCTCACCATGTGTTCTGAAAACCTTCAGTTTGTTTGTCTCTTTTATTCGCAAGAAGAGGGGGTAAAAAGGTATGTGGTGGGGTGAAAACAACATCCTATCTTCACAGCAGGGTGCTAAATTGGAAACAAAGAAGGGGGTCACACAGAAACTAAATTAACACACAGACAGGTTTACAGCTCAGGAGTATCCCAGGAAGATCTAAGTCACCATCTGTAAAACATGCTTGAGGTTAAGGAAAGTTTAACTATGTCTTCACAGTTTTAACAAATTAGAACACTGAACCTCTAAATAGAAAAACAACTAGTAACATAAAATTACAAATGTAAGAATAACAAACATAATAATTCTAACACTCACAGAGGCACCAAACTTTCAGTGATTGATCATCTTCGGGTCCCCTACAATACCCAATGGTCAAATGATGACATCACTTAGGCCACGCCCCCTGAGAACAGGAAGTGTCATGTTTTACTGAGTGGTCTCTATCTGACCCCTTTTACCTAATCAACATGAAATTGTGTACAGAGACGGAAGACATGGGTAACACTTTATTTGAAGGGGGTTGAATAAGACTGACATGACAC